AACTAATATCTTCTAATTATTTTTTATCTTGCTAATTGCCTCTGTGTGGTTCTTATACATTTTCTCTTCTCCAGATGGATGAGGATTATGATAGTTGCATGGAATCCATAATGCTACAGTTGAGGCAACTTCCACCAATGACACTAAGACAACCTCAACGCTGCCCAGATTATGCGGTTTGCTGTGTCTATGGCTCGGGCAACCTAGCAAAAGTCACTACGTAAGTGTACATAACTCTTTTGGAGCCAGTTCAATTTCAAGGACTGCAATTAATTTTAGTCTTTCAAATTACAGGGGCTGTAGAACAGGTGAATTGCAAGGCACCTATGGATCTTCAACTCTGAAAGGCACAGATGATTTTTATGCCACCCAACCTTATGGTGATGACCCTCCTGTACCTCAACCATTTGTCCCTACCAAAGCAAACTTTTACCATCTAGACATTGGTCTTCTTGAGCTTGAAGATTCAGATGACAAAAAGCATTATTTCAGAGACAATGATACACCAGATACTGTCATTAGTTCATCTTCTCCTGAATGTGTCATGCCTGAAAAACCTTTGAGATTCCCTGGTTTGCGGCTGATAGAGGATGATTTATCAGATGAGGAGGAACAATGTCGTAAAAGAGCATCTCCAGTCATTCCCATTATAGCCCCAATACCCATTAGACTCAAGCCAGGGATGCGATACATGTCTGAATTGGTAATTAATTGTTTATTATAACTATTGACAGTCCTGTGTTAATCTAAATATTTCAAATTTAATCTAATCTTATCCTAATTTATAGGACAAAGAAAATCTAGGCATGCCTCGAGAACCATCTCAGACTAAGTCTCGGTTTGGTGCTCAAACCCAACTCAAGGACACAGGAAATTTGTCTGTCACTATTACCATAAGTGATTCTTCTGCTGAAAACATTTGTGGAGTTCTGATTGATCTTGCCAATGTTCTAAATATTGCTGCACCAACAACATATCAGATTCTGGAACGTACTGGCTCTGTGCCCGCCAAATTAGGCCTTTATCGATGCAAGAGTAAAGATGGGAAAGAAAGTGGTAAGTTTACCTGCCTTTCTTTCTTGGGCTTGCAATAGTTTAGTTTTTTACACAAATCATTTTTCCAGCTCCAGTTGACATTCAAACTATATTAAATGGAGCTGCTAAGTTCTGCCATCACTGCGACGTTGTCATATTGCACAATGGAATCCGGAAAAAGGCCTCAGAAATTCAGCTATCAAAACCCAATGACTTACCATTTGCCAACACAGTAAATGAAGATGTCTATTTCTGTGGCTCCACCTGTTACATGCAGTTTGCTCTTATGCATAGATCGCCCAGTTTGTCACACGAAAAGGTAATATTTTTATTACTATGCTCTTATCTACATATTACTTCATATTTTCTTTGTTGACAACATACCATTTCTTTGTTTACAGGCTGCTGCACTTGTAGACCATGTTATTCAAGCTCCTAGTCCACCTAAAAGAATGCGTCTTTCTACTGATGATGAGAAAGGCAGAACCTCTGCCAACGCAGAGAGTGTAGATGTTGAAATGAAAGAAGTTGATTCATCCTCAGTGTCAAGCGAAGGAGTTGGAGATAAAAAAGAGGTTGTACCTGCAACACCGGCGAAATCATGGAAGGGTATTCGTTTCCGAGTGTTTGCACCCAATCAGGTACCCCCACCAAGAAATAAGTTCCGCAGGCCCACTGAAAGGGAGCTAACAGAAATGCTCTTCAGAATGGTCATCACAGTGATGCCTCAAAAAATGCCTGAAGATACACGCAAATGCCTGTTTTGTCACTCTATTGGGGATGGGGTCTCAGATGGACCTGCAAGACTGCTCAATTTGGATGTAGACAAATGGGTTCATCTTAACTGTGCTTTATGGTCTGAAGAAGTTTATGAAACAGTTAATGGTGCTCTCATGAACATTGAGACAGCACTTCAGCAATCCTTGACTCTTACCTGTGTGCTGTGCCACCGAACTGGAGCTACACTCCGATGTTTCAAGACCCGTTGTGCAGCTGTTTATCACTTGCAGTGTGCTGTCAAGGATGAATGTGTATTCTATAAGAACAAGACCCTATTCTGTTCAGAACATGTTCCCAAAAATGATAAGGAAAATGAACTTACCACTTTGTCAGTCTTCAGAAGGGTCTACATTAACAGAGATGAAAATAGACAGGTAGCCACTGTCATGCACCATGCTGATGAAAATCATTTGATGAGAGTGGGAAGTCTTATCTTTCTCAACGTGGGACAACTGCTTCCTCACCAGTTCCAGAATTTCCACAATGCTAATTTCATATATCCTATTGGCTACAAAATTGTGAGTACTAGTATCCAGCCTGAATGTACCTTAGCATTCTCACGAAGATAATTTTTTTATGAAATATATTTTTTCTACTTACAGATCCGCTTTTATTGGAGCATGCGAGTTGCAAACAAACGCTGTCGTTACATCTGCTCAATTCATGAAGTAAACGGCAATCCCGAATTCAAAGTACTTGTGTCAGAACCATCTCAAGAAGATCTTGAACTCCGTGATACCTCAGCCAAAGGTGTTTGGCAACAGATTTTAGAGCCAATGCAGGCTTTGAGGAAAGAAAATAGCAACATCAACATTTTCCCTAAATATATCTCTGGAGAGGACCTGTTTGGTCTCAATGAGCCAGCCATTGTGAGAATTCTTGAGAGCTTGCCAGGTTAGTGTCAAATTCCCTTAATTGGTTGAAATGATGCCTGAAAAAGATGAATTTAGCATTGTATTATGATTTCTTCTTATCAGGTATTGAAACATTAACTGATTATAAATTTAAATACGGACGGAACCCACTCCTTGAACTTCCTTTGGCTGTCAATCCTACTGGTTGTGCTCGATCTGAGCCCAAGATACGGGGCCAGGTAACATTTAAGCGCCCCCACACCCAACGGACAGCAGGCATTTCCGCTCGGCCAGCTTTAGTATCCACTCCAACTTCGGCCGGAGAAGTAGCCTGTCCTTATTCTAAACAATTTGTTCATTCAAAGAGCAGTCAATATAAAAAGATGAAGCAGGAGTGGCGCAACAATGTGTATTTGGCAAGGTGAGTTATTACCTCTTGCATTTTGTTTTACACTTGTTGCACCAACACACGCACTTTTATTTAAAATGATCTCTGAACTATTTGCATGATGTAGGTCTAAGATAGCTGGTTTAGGATTATACGCCACAAGAGACATCGAGCGTCATACCATGGTCATAGAATATATAGGAGAAATAATTCGGTCAGAACTGTCTGAAACTCGTGAAAAGAAGTATCAGGAGAAGGTAAGCCCCTAAGTTTCAAATACCTGTTACTGCTTTTAAAACTTAAAGATTATTGCCTATTAGATATTAAGTGTTGATCTGATTAATTCTGAACATTATTATTATTGCAGAATCGCGGGATTTACATGTTCAGATTGGACGAGGACAGAGTTGTTGATGCTACTCTTTGTGGTGGGCTTGCAAGGTATATAAACCATTCTTGTAATCCGAACTGTGTGGCTGAGATTGTTGAAGTGGACAGAGATTTGCGTATCATCATCTTTGCCAAAAGACGTATTCAGAGAGGAGAGGAGGTAACTTGAAATAACCTAATCGTGTGCTCATATTTAAACAGAATGTCAAAAATTTTGCTTATAACTGTACTTTGTTTCAGCTTGCATATGATTACAAATTTGATCTAGAGGATGACCAGAACAAGATACCTTGTTTGTGTGGAGCACCTAACTGCAAGAAGTGGATGAATTAAAATTTTGAGAAGGACTAGAACCAAACAGCACAAAGTTTGTCATGAGGAGTGATCAGTGAAATACCGATTTTGAATCTCTCGGGATATGTCTTTGCAGACAAGCCTATCAGTCTTGTTAGTGAATTGACTTACAGCGTTCATCCAACATTTCTTTACTGCACTTGCACTTACTTATGTGATAAAATAGGAACCCAATCTTTTGGAAAAATGTAAAGGAAATGATGTTTAAACCGACATAATGCCAAATGTATTCACCCACCTCTAGAATAGTGTCTTGTTGGTGTCTTGACAAAAGTTTATTTTAGAATAATATATAAAACTTTTTTTGTGTGTTTTTTTCATACGCTAATTCTTTGTTAAGAGAAGTTGTTGGATAAGTCATGATAATAGACTTAATGAATTGATGACGGGTCAATGCTTAAGTATTCTCAATCGGTATGTCACTTCTACTATTTAAGAATTCTAATATTGTTGAGATTATGAAATTAATTTGCAGAAGTGTCCTGTAAACATCACTAACTGTAAATGTTTTGCCCTCCTTCTGCCTTTTCTCTCTTTTTGTCTTGGAGCTGTTGGGACCACTGTTGTAAGCTGTGTAGTCTTTCGGATGTGTGTAGAGGAATATTTTCTGTAAGACCTGAATGAATTTAGAGAATAGAAGGACCTAGTCCATCCCTTGCTGTATAAATGCAAGGTGTTATGAGTGTAATAGCTGTCGGTGCTGATGTTGTTGTAATTTGTGTTATAATTAATTAATTATTTTTGCATTGCTGCCTTGTGATTGTGTCCTAAACTTAGGTGTGCCTAGTTGCACTAATTTTGTTCTGATTTTGTTTCAAAACATGCATTTATTATTACTTTGTAGTATTTTTATATAAATATCTATTTGTATGTTGATTGCCTCCAGTCAGAGCTCCTGTTAATAAAATGCCATGTCTTTTGTCTGTGAGATATGTAACAAATATTGATCAATTCCTTGTTTTACTCTGTACTTTAAGTTAAATCATGTAACTGTCAAAATGTTTGAAAATAATTCAGTCATGATGTGTTATTGTAGAAAGATAATTAGGCTTGTGTGAATAACTCAATAGGGGAGCCATATTTTATTGTAAATCTACTAGAAAGTATATATTTTTTTTTCTCGTGGGATGCTCACTTCCACTACTGTACAAACTTTTATGTGAGGCAGAATTTCCACAGTTAATAATGTATCTATTAATTGTAGCTTGATAGTCATTGTAAATATAACTAGTGTACATTCAAATGGAATCTTTTGTAAAAATTATTATGTAGGTTAGTATCTCATTTTATCATAGGTCATTGTGAATACACTGGTCTCTTAATGAAGTAGTTCATTGATTTCTTTCATTATACTTTCATGTACCTTATCATTTGACATACTATTAGCCTGTTAAAATTTTTATGGCTTGACCTTGTGCAAAATTTAAGCACCTTTATGTTGTACATTCAATATGAAATTTTCTCACACAGTTTAGCATCCTAAGTAATGAACTTTTTGTGACAACACTTTTGTCAAGTTGTGATATTTTACTGGGCATAATTGACATGACTCTGAAAGAGCAAAATCATAATTATTCATGAAATTACCAATACCTTTAACTTGTAGATTTTCCTACAAGAAATGTGTGAGCAATTTTTTATTTGTTGTTTAGGCTCAATTTTTAAATTTGTTCTTGCAATGGTTTGTTTTGCATATGTTTTGTGCTTTATTTCTGGCGTATACCTGCTTGTGTGTGCCTGTATGTCACAAAAATAAAGCAGAAACCATTACATTTGAATATAAACGTTTTCAAGTTTTTTCTGACATCAAACCATGATCCTTTCTTGAAACCTCTGGACTTGGATCTCATGTCCATAAGGAAAACTGAGAGCAATGTCCCAACGGCTAGCCCAAAGGCCCTTCTCCCCGCTCCTCACCGTCCTTTGTGTGCATCGCACGCATCGCGATCGCGGGCCTGTGGAGTCATGACGTCATGTTGTGTCCACTTAGTTCGCCCTTTCACCCCCCCCCCCCCCCCCCTATGCCGCTGCTGGGTTTGTGTGGTGGGGAAGTTTCTGATGAAACCGTTGATCGAGGTGTATTGTCGTTATGACTGTTTCATTGATTCCTCGAAGTATTTGCTCTGAAAACCAAAACACGCAAAGTTTCAATGAGACCCTGTTTTTTTTCAATCGTCAGCCAGTTTTCAGTCAGCTGATGCACACCTAACCAAAACTTTGCAGCAGACGACCCTTCTACTCAGACTTCGGACCAATATATTAACTTACATGTGTATGTTTTTTGATGAATGACAGCTCGTGCTTATTGCCTAGTAAGTTAACTTCTGCTTTCTACCACTTATTTCTCCCTTGTGTAAAGTTAACCAATAACTGGTGCAAATCGTGCCGTGTTTTCTTTGGTCAATGAGAGGGTGAAAGTTATAGCACTGCTTTTTTCTCCTATTCTTTTATTACTAGGACATGACTATTTCCTGGAGAGTCTTATTACCACTGTGCGCCTTTGGATTCCTTAAAGAATTTCGTCCTTCAGAATCATTTGTCACTAATTATCTTCTTGGACCAGATAAAAATTTCACTAAAAGCGAGGTACAGCAATGTTTTATTGTGAGATTTTAATTGTATGCGTTGTCTCAACTGCAATTTTTCTCCTAATTTCTCCTAATTGTATTATTCTATATTTTCTCTTCTTGCAGGTCAACCAGGATATATATCCAGTTGGAACTTATTCTAACTTATCTCTATTAGTTTTAGTTTTCCTTATTACTGATTATGCTCGTTACAAGCCAGTGATAATTTTAGAGGGCGTAGCTGGTGTTCTTACGTATTGCCTCATAATATGGGGACAAGATGTGTCAACAATTCAGGTGAGTATATCCGGTTATCATTTCTCATTATTTTTATTTCAAAATCTAAAGCCTTTTGCCCCCTTTTTTTTAGGTGGCAGAAGTTTTCTACGGACTATTTATGGCCACCGAAGTGGCTTACCTCACTTACATTTATGCAATGTGTGATAAGCAGGATTACCAGAAAGTTTCAGGATATGTTCGATCTGGAATTCTTTTTGGACGCTTTGTGTCTGGTGTTGTTAGTCAGTTGACAGTTGATTTAAATGTTCTTAGTTATCATCAGCTTAATTTTCTCACTCTTTCTGGTAAGAAAATACCATGTGAGACTTACTTTCTGAAAAAAATAAAAAATTCTTCAATTTATTGATGCAAATTGCGTTTGTAGGGGTTTCCTCGTCTGTGGTGGTTGCAGTCCTTCTTCCATCAGTTGAAAAAAGCATGTACTTTCATCAGCAAAGTGTTCCACAGTGTGAGAGTAATCCAGCATGTGAAGGTTCAACGGCTTCATTACCAAACCAAGATCAAGAGATGAATGCATTCGCAGCAAATACCTTTGAGGATATAAATTTGCAACAACAAGATTCTCAAAGCAATGATAACCAGTTAAACTCAATTATTCCCTCACAAACTGGATCAGTCATTCCTTCTGCCTTGAGAGCAATGAAACATGATTTTCTCTCAGCTTATAGTAATAATCATGTTCTGAAGTGGTCTATGTGGTGGGCCTTGGCCACCTGTGGCTACTTGCAGGTAAATGTCATACCTAGCATCGATTCATCATAGTTGTCAGACTGCCATTACCTTCCAACAAAAACATACCTATCAAATTTATATATTTTTAGGTGACCTCTTACATGCAAATGTTATGGCAAGTTTCAGCGGAAAAGAACAATGTTAAGTTGTATAATGGAGTGGTTGATGCCCTCTACACACTAATTGGTAATAGATGTCAGCAAGGGAGCGCTTGAGATATGTTTCTCTTTTATTTCTTAATCTTTATTTTCTGCTCTAGGATCAATTTCTACGTGGTATGTTGGGCGGCACAAACTGAACCTTGCCCATCACACATATCTTATACTGACTTTATGCTGTCTTCTCCAAGGAACTCTCCTTTTAATATCTGCTGGAATAGTCCACCTCTGGACTCAGTATATATTGTATATATTTTTCAAGATTCTCTACCACTCCACCATGGTTTTAGCAAGGTGTGTTAATTGAAACAAAATAAGCAGTTACATGTTCTTTGATCAATAGCTAATTTTTCTCCATATTTTTTTTCAGTTCAGAAGTAGCAATGCGTCTAGAGGCTGAATCACATGCTCTGATTTTTGGATTCAACATGTTCCTTGCATTATGCTTCCAATCCATTTTCACATTTGTGGTTGCAGCAAAAGGTGGACTTCAACTACAAATTCAAAACCAGGTTTGTGTCATAATTTTTTCTCTCTTTACATTGTTGTTGGTTAATTAAGTTGCCTGCCCTGAAAATTTAGATACATACTTTGAATTTTTATTGGAGTCTTTCTGTTTATTTGTTCCAGTTTTATGTTTATGGCAGCTACTTTATTGTTCTTGGAATTGGGTTTATTCTGTCCTTGTGTGTTCAACGAGCATGCATGCTCATATCGCAACAAAGATGTAACAAGATGAACCCCTCCGAATGCCCATGAGTATTTTCTTTTTTAGTCGCTACAGTGGTAGTTTAGATTGAATCTTTAGTATTATCTGTGATATTGCTATTAGCTAGTGATTATTAGTGTATGTTTTATACAAAGCCTGAAATGAACTGAAAACTTTTTTAAAAAAATTCATACATACTGTTGGATATTCTTAGACTGAATCTTTTTTTCTTTTTTAATTTAATACTTGGTGCTAGGCAAGCCTTCAGTTATGAATCAATTTTCCCTCACTGCCTTCCCCTTCTACCAGTTTTGGTCTGTTAACTTTAATTTTCCTTTGTTTCATGATCTCAGCTCTTAACAGCTCTCCTTCTATCCACAATGTTTCTTAAGTCAACTATATGTTTTGTGAGATACATAATTGTTGTATAAATGTGTTCATTCCTAATCATTCCAAATGTTCACAAATTTTTATTCTTTTGAGGATGAATCCAGTTATGTGCCAATGAGTGGGTGTGCTAAAAGAGGACCAAATATTTAGATAGAAATGATAATGTTTAATTAAAGGGGTCACATTAATGCCAGTGACTTGGTAACTTTGCAAATTGTAATCACCGTTTGATTGGGCGGTCTGTTGAAAAATTGCAATCAAAAGGAGAACATTAGTACTAAGTTTCCAATAACAAAATTATGAAACACACTTTTGTAAGTAGGTACAACAAACCAGCTACATATCATTTCATTGATAAGTAAAAAAGCATTTGTTATTCTAAAATTAATGAGCATTGAAAAAAATTGTCCGTATAAAAAAGAGAAAGAGAATATGCCCCTTCACTTTAAAAAAAATATTCTGAAAATTTTAAAACTTTTAGGCCCCGCCTGATTCTTTTCCACATATATACACAAAAAAATTTCAAACATTTCATATAAATCTTATAGCCTAAGTGAGAGATTTTTAAAAAACCTATTGAGAGCAGTATCACTATTGAGTTTCCTCATACGAACTGTGCTAGCATGAGTAAATATGAGAAAAATACTTTTTTACAGTCTTCATCCTCTAACACTAATTTAAGTTCTCTGAACCCATTTAACCTGTACAAAATAAAGGGACCTATTCCCAATAACTGATTGCAGTATGTACATCTACATATAACTAAAACATGCCTCAAAATCCTGTAAAGGAGGACAGTCACAGATCTATTTTGCAAGGTACATTATTTGCTTACAAATATCCAATTGAGATACGACACAATATTAAATAGAGCACAAAAAACAGAAACAATTATATTTAAATACAGTGTTGTTGATGTAGTACACTTTCAAAAACAAACTTTAAGCTATTAACTGACTCCTACCTTAAAATTGGTCCCTAAAATAAAAAAATTGTACAGGAATTTATGGGATGAAAAATCTCTATCACATTCCATTTGCGCACCATTATGGTACACACACCAAAAAGGTAGCGTGAGTTTTCATAACTAACAGTGCAAATCATTCTTGAAATCCCTATCACGCTAGATGTAAGTTTGGTTCAGGAAGGAGTGGGACTGAATTTTCTTCTGCTTCTTTTTCTTTATGCCTCAAAGCAGTAACATCATGCAATTCAACATCATTGAATTTAATGCCTGCAGGACTGTTTAAATCTGAAATTGAAATCAAAAGAGGTCATAAGAAATCATGGCATAGCTATGGGTATATCATCAGATAAATTTAAGAAGTGTGCTGCTGAGACCTTTTAAAGCAGAATCGAGTTGTTCTTGAGAACTGACGTGTGTAAAATCTTCCAGACCAACTCCATGAAGAACAGACAAAACAGCAGCCCTTGGTTTGTAAAACAGCAGGCGTTGTTTACGCTTGTGGTAGTCATCAATAAGTGAAGCAATGCCCTGAGTAAATAGAAAACATCAAATTATAACTTACAACATATTACTAAGGGGGGAAGGAATATCTCTTGCAGAGGTATTTTTTTACCTTGGCTGCAGTATAGTCAGCTCCAAGTATAAATCGACAGTCAACAACAACAGGCAATTGGCTGGCACCTTGTTTCACACCAGCACGACCTACACTGGCTCGAATGAAATCAACAGCTGGGAAATATAGGCTGTTCCCAAGAGTCACCATCAAGTATGATATACCTGAAGAGGTCTGAAAATAAGGAAAACAAAAGAGGAGCTTTAGTGAGTACCAAAAACATTTCAAAGAGAAATAGCTGAGAGCCAAAAGGACATAAAATTTTCAATTCATTATTTACTAACAGTGCTTTGTTCAACATGAACACTGGGTCTTGCAGACGGATACAGTAAGAAGACTATGTTGATGGCAACTCCAACTAAAATACCATATTCAACCCCTATGGCTAAACAAAGGACAAATGTAGCTGTCATAGCCACTAAGTCTTTTCCTGAGAAAAATAAAGAGTTAATGCCAGAGAGAACATAGGTGATGAAATTAATTTTAATCATTCTAGAAACTTACGACTAGACCTCCACATTGGCTGTACAACTTCATATTCAATCATGAATATAACAGCACATATAATTACTGCTGCCAAGGATGCCTTTGGTATATAGTAGAAGTATGGAGTTAGTAGGCTTAGAGCAAGTAGTATTAAGGCACCTGGAGTAAAAGAGAATAGTTATGTAAAAAAAGTAAATGATAAATTAAATGTGACTTTAAGTGGCGATGCAATTTAACCTGTATAAACTCCACCCATTGGAGTGCGCACACCACTTGCATGATTCACTGCTGACCGAGAGAAGGAGCCCGTGACAGGCATTGATGATACAAAAGATCCAGCAATATTGCATAAGCCAAGGGTAAGCAGCTCTTGAGTTGCATCAATAGAGTCACCACTGGCTAAAAATGTTAGAGAAAAAATTGAAAAATACATCACACACTGTAACAATAACATTAAACCAAAACCAAAGTTCAAAAACCATACCGAATGCTTTGGCAATGGCCACATTTCCTAGAACAGCAATGACTGGCACAAGAACAATTGAAGATCCCAACTCTGAGCACATAGATGTGAAGTCAAAAGTCTGATTTGAAAAACTAGTTTGAAATGGTGGGAGTTGGAAGGGTGGCAAGCCAGATTGTAATTTCCCTGAAAATTATATTTTATGTACAAAAAATAAAACTGATAAATTAAGTATTTACAATAAGAGTAGTATGATTTATACCTGTCAAGACAAATGGAGATTCAACGTCAGGTTCATGCATGAGGTACGCAATCAGAGAGCATGCCAATACTATCAAGGCGTTTCTTGATGTTGAAATAAGCCACAATGTCTTCATCAAAATTTGTTGTTTTTTTGTTGGTTTGGATCCTCCTATCTTGATATCTTTTATTTT